GGCAATACTAAGAGACAAATTGCAGTACTAATTGAATGATCAGGTTTACTGAGACGCGTATTAAGGACGGATCGAGAGACGAACTAAAGAGGCTGGTATACGTCTTGGGAGTACATAGGATTAAGTTCCCGTATGATGTATGGATTACCCGGATCCGGGTAACAAATTCATCGGCATACGACGGATATCGAAACGTCGTTTGGGGAAATAGCTGCCGATTTTACATAAATCGTTCCCCATGGGATACCGGAGGCAGGTTGCATAATCGGAACGTTACCGGGATACGTAATACGTCTTGCCTAAGGAAATACAGGTGTACTTCCCAGAGATAAAACGCTTGTATCAGCCCGCCTGACGAGAAAAGGCTGAAATGATTTACGAGAGTTGGCCAAATTAAATTTTCCTTTTGGACTGCTGTGAAATAATATCTCGTTTCACGGGAGATGTATTTCGAAATTTCTAAATCAGTTTCAATTTCATTCAATTAACGTTAAATTGCATTTAATTAAATCCAATTAATTCGCGTTATTAGTTTATATTATACAACATTTTGGTTGATCATTAATCAATAAATGTTGATCCCTAATTAATGAAGTAATAAATTGATTATTACTGAATTACAATGATTATGTGAACTATAATGAAATGATTTTGTTTATTGAAGAATTCACGTTGAAAGTTGTTAAGCAATAATCGTTGCGCGTCAACTCGTATGCACAATTTCATATCTGGAAACTGTTAGAGTAGACAATTGAAAGAACTTTTTGCCAGGTTGTTATCGCGTTACTGGGACACGTTGAATACAGGGTCGGTCGACGTGATAGTATTTGATGTGTACTAAATGGCGGACCATTTCGTATTCCACGGGGATTGATCGAGGACGAGGAGGTCCCTTCGGTGTTTCGAAACGTAATTCGTTAGGCTCCAGCTATGGAGGCTTGTAATCTGGCGAGCAATTTACCCAAACGTATTAGCATCCCGGGCATCTGAAAGTTAAATTCGCAGTCACCCACAGTTTTTGCACTCGATCCAAAATAGATGGATGAATTCGCTGCCCTTTAAAAATTTTCTTTACCGATCGACTTGCAAATGAAAGACAGACACGATCTCTCAGTTTTTTCGGAGAATTCCTGAAAACAAGCCTGATGTTTTATATGAAAGTAATTTGTCTTATTCTTTTCGTCTTTCACTG